ACACTCACACACGCTCACACACACACACTCACACACGGTCACACACACTTACACACACACACACACACTCACTGAGTGTGATGCTTACACTCAGACACACTCACACACACAAACTCACATGCTTACACTCACACACGGTCACACACGCTTACACACACTCCCACGCTTACACTCAGACATGCTCACACGCGCTTACACACCCTTACACACACACATGCTTACACTCAGACACACTCACTCACATGCTTACACTCACACGCTTACACTCACACACGGTCACACACGCTTACACACACTCCCACGCTTACACTCAGACATGCTCACACGCGCTTACACACCCTTACACACACACATGCTTACACTCAGACACACTCACTCACATGCTTACACTCACACGCTTACACTCACACACGGTCACACACGCTTACACACACTCCCACGCTTACACTCAGACATGCTCACACGCGCTTACACACCCTTACACACACACATGCTTACACTCAGACACACTCACTCACATGCTTACACTCACACGCTTACACTCACACACGGTCACACACGCTTACACACACTCCCACGCTTACACTCAGACATGCTCACACGCGCTTACACACCCTTACACACACACATGCTTACACTCAGACACACTCACTCACATGCTTACACTCACACGCTTACACTCACACACGGTCACACACGCTTACACACACTCCCACGCTTACACTCAGACATGCTCACACGCGCTTACACACCCTTACACACACACATGCTTACACTCAGACACACTCACTCACATGCTTACACTCACACGCTTACACTCACACACGGTCACACACGCTTACACACACTCCCACGCTTACACTCAGACATGCTCACACGCGCTTACACACCCTTACACACACACATGCTTACACTCAGACACACTCACTCACATGCTTACACTCACACGCTTACACTCACACACGGTCACACACGCTTACACACACTCCCACGCTTACACTCAGACATGCTCACACGCGCTTACACACCCTTACACACACACATGCTTACACTCAGACACACTCACTCACATGCTTACACTCACACGCTTACACTCACACACGGTCACACACGCTTACACACACTCCCACGCTTACACTCAGACATGCTCACACGCGCTTACACACCCTTACACACACACATGCTTACACTCAGACACACTCACTCACATGCTTACACTCACACGCTTACACTCACACACGGTCACACACGCTTACACACACTCCCACGCTTACACTCAGACATGCTCACACGCGCTTACACACCCTTACACACACACATGCTTACACTCAGACACACTCACTCACATGCTTACACTCACACGCTTACACTCACACACGGTCACACACGCTTACACACACTCCCACGCTTACACTCAGACATGCTCACACGCGCTTACACACCCTTACACACACACATGCTTACACTCAGACACACTCACTCACATGCTTACACTCACACGCTTACACTCACACACGGTCACACACGCTTACACACACTCCCACGCTTACACTCAGACATGCTCACACGCGCTTACACACCCTTACACACACACATGCTTACACTCAGACACACTCACTCACATGCTTACACTCACACGCTTACACTCACACACGGTCACACACGCTTACACACACTCCCACGCTTACACTCAGACATGCTCACACGCGCTTACACACCCTTACACACACACATGCTTACACTCAGACACACTCACTCACATGCTTACACTCACACGCTTACACTCACACACGGTCACACACGCTTACACACACTCCCACGCTTACACTCAGACATGCTCACACGCGCTTACACACCCTTACACACACACATGCTTACACTCAGACACACTCACACACACACTCACATGCTTACACTCACACACACTCACACGCTTACACTCACAGACACTCACACACGCTTACACACACACACACACACACACACATGCTCACACACACTCACACGCTTACACTCACGCACACTCACACACGCTTACACACACTCACACGCTTACACTCACGCACACTCACACACGCTTACACACACTCACACGCTTACACTCACGCACACTCACACACGCTTACACACACTCACACGCTTACACTCACGCACACTCACACACGCTTACACACACTCACACGCTTACACTCACGCACACTCACACACGCTTACACACACTCACACGCTTACACTCACGCACACTCACACACGCTTACACACACTCACACGCTTACACTCACGCACACTCACACACGCTTACACACACTCACACGCTTACACTCACGCACACTCACACACGCTTACACACACTCACACGCTTACACTCACGCACACTCACACACGCTTACACACACTCACACGCTTACACTCACGCACACTCACACACGCTTACACACACTCACACGCTTACACTCACGCACACTCACACACGCTTACACACACTCACACGCTTACACTCACGCACACTCACACACGCTTACACACACTCACACGCTTACACTCACGCACACTCACACACGCTTACACACACTCACACGCTTACACTCACGCACACTCACACACGCTTACACACACTCACACGCTTACACTCACGCACACTCACACACGCTTACACACACTCACACGCTTACACTCACGCACACTCACACACGCTTACACACACTCACACGCTTACACTCACGCACACTCACACACGCTTACACACACTCACACGCTTACACTCACGCACACTCACACACGCTTACACACACTCACACGCTTACACTCACGCACACTCACACACGCTTACACACACTCACACGCTTACACTCACGCACACTCACACACGCTTACACACACTCACACGCTTACACTCACGCACACTCACACACGCTTACACACACTCACACGCTTACACTCACGCACACTCACACACGCTTACACACACTCACACGCTTACACTCACGCACACTCACACACGCTTACACACACTCACACGCTTACACTCACGCACACTCACACACGCTTACACACACTCACACGCTTACACTCACGCACACTCACACACGCTTACACACACTCACACGCTTACACTCACGCACACTCACACACGCTTACACACACTCACACGCTTACACTCACGCACACTCACACACGCTTACACACACTCACACGCTTACACTCACGCACACTCACACACGCTTACACACACTCACACGCTTACACTCACGCACACTCACACACGCTTACACACACTCACACGCTTACACTCACGCACACTCACACACGCTTACACACACTCACACGCTTACACTCACGCACACTCACACACGCTTACACACACTCACACGCTTACACTCACGCACACTCACACACGCTTACACACACTCACACGCTTACACTCACGCACACTCACACACGCTTACACACACTCACACGCTTACACTCACGCACACTCACACACGCTTACACACACTCACACGCTTACACTCACGCACACTCACACACGCTTACACACACTCACACGCTTACACTCACGCACACTCACACACGCTTACACACACTCACACGCTTACACTCACGCACACTCACACACGCTTACACACACTCACACGCTTACACTCACGCACACTCACACACGCTTACACACACTCACACGCTTACACTCACGCACACTCACACACGCTTACACACACTCACACGCTTACACTCACGCACACTCACACACGCTTACACACACTCACACGCTTACACTCAGACATGCTCACACGCGCTTACACACCCTTACACACACACATGCTTACACTCAGACACACTCACACACACACTCACATGCTTACACTCACACACACTCACACGCTTACACTCACAGACACTCACACATGCTTACACACACACACACGCTCACACACACACACACTTTTTACTTTACGAATTACAGACATGGCCGATTCTCACGGGATTAAGATCACAGACAACCTCCGCAATTATTACAAATGACTGGAGGTCACCAGGTAATACTAATCCCGTGCGAATAGGGCTTTAGACACACACTCACGGTAACACACACTTACACACGCTCACACACGCTCAGGACAGTTATGCCACCGCAGGTGTGCGGACAGACAGCAGGAGGAACGACTCACCTGATTGCGATATCTCTTGGCATACTTGTAGACTTCCATTACGGCCAGGTTAGTGTTGAACTCATTCCTGTATCTCTGCAGCAAAAAGCATTCAGAAATTCTTTGTAAGTTTACAAATGTATATATTTTATATGTACTTGATATTTTTGCATTCTGGCATATTTCAAATGTATAAATGCAGTGGATAGAATGAATAATTATTAACATGTACAGCTACTATAAGTACAGTATATCCAATCTTACTCACATAAAGCGATATATGCAATACTACAAAGCAAATCTCAACTGCGTGATTCTTTATATCATCTCGTAATCAGAAGTGTGCGCTCGGCTCACCCGCGACTCCTCGGCCAGGTGAGCGTTCATTTCCTGCTCGCTCAGCGGCGCCATCTCTTGAATCTGCTTGTAGTAACACTGCACTCTCTTCTTATACTCCGGGATCTCTTTGGCATACAGCAGCTTATTGGTGGGAGAATCCTGTAATAAAGCAAGCAATCGATCAGATGCAGAATGTGTACGACGCTGCATGATTTGCTCCACTGATTTCCTGTGTTTTGTTTGTGATTGGAGAGATTATAATGTGTCATTAATGATCAAGACTCAGCCAGGGATTTACCATCTGTATGCTCAACTATAATCAGTAAATATATTCAAATCAAACCTACTGCAATCCTTTTTTTTTGGTTCAGACCATATTAGTTCCTGCAAAATTCACACTGGTTTGAACAGCTGAAAATGTATGTGACCTGTTTTCTACATTTCTCCTCTCTACTTCTTGTCTGGTTTAATCCTTGAGATGCGCTCACATTGCTCTGCAAAATTCTGCATGCGATATCCAGTCATTCCAACAGGAATCTCCCCATGTAACTTCCCCATGTAGGTTTTGCTCATTTTCAGTTTGGTCACATGAATTTGTAGCGCTGACCACCAGATAGCTGCTTGGTTTGAAAGTGACTTCTGTGTGAGCTGTGCTTCATACTTGACAATACACAATGGACCTGTTTTTGCTCACAAAGGTGACTACACCTTCAGACATGAATGGCAGAAACTACAGTGCGAGAGAATCTGACCACAAAGGTCATTCCCTCATTCTCTCACACTGCTCATTTAAAGAGTTCACTTGACTTTTCTCTTCTGATGTCACATGAAGAGATGCTCCTGTGATGAATGCTGCCATTTCCATATATGGACAGAAACATGTTTATATTCGTTCAGCCATACAGAAACACATAGAAATTGTTATGAGATATGCTTGTGTGTGTGTGTATTGGCATTCCTTAAATTATGAGGACCAAATATCTCCACATGGATAGTAATACCAGTAGATATTGACTATGTGGGGACATTTTTTGTTCTCCATGAGGACAGAAGCTTATAAATCACACATAATGAAGTGTTTTGAGAATCTAAGAGTGCATGTAGTTGTGTGTGAGGGGTAGGTTTAGGTGTAGGGTTAAAGAGGATAGAAAATACAGTTTGTACAGTAGAAAAAAACATTACGCCTATGGAATGAACCCATAAAACATGGAAACCCAACATGTGTGTGTGTTCTTACTTTGCCCAGCTGCAGGTCAGAGAGTGAGCAGGCGTCAATGAAAGCCTGAGCGATGACAGACAGACACGCGTCCATGTGATCCGTCTTATCGATATCAAACACAAACTGAGGGTTCTTCAGGATATTGACCCAGAAGCGCAGAGGCAAGCTGCAGAGAGACACGCAGAGAACATCACAGTTAACACTCATCCACTGCTCCTGCTCTTTCTCCTTCAGGATCCTTAGCTAGAGCTCGTATCAATCTCACTGTAGATCACAGTAGTCAACAGCAAACCCCTTTAACTTCTGCAATGTGCTGCAGGGACTTGTTTCGTCCACAGGGATCTGAATGGATGGTAAAAAGTGCCTCTGCCTGACAAGTATTTGGTTGCAAGGACTTGAACAGTAAGCGACCTTAGTGATCAGCAATTAATTGACAGCGGCGGAGCAAGTTATTACATTTCCATGAAACATGGACTGTGCAGAATGACAGCAGGAAGTTTAAAACGCCTCATGGTTCTGTGAATCCATACCTGTTGGTCTTCCAGATGTGTAACGTGTCGGGGTCGGTTATGCCGCGCTTGTCCGCCTGTTCTTCTAGGAAGTCAAAGAAGTATTTGATAGCTAGCGGTGGTTTCTCTGGAGGAATGCTGAGGATGGCTTGAAACAGATCATCCAGGAACTTCTGCAGGGTTCCCTGTGCAAGACAAACACATTCACATCATTTGTCTTCATGACCTTTTCCCAACATCTACTGTCCCTTTGAAACATGCGGTGTGTTGATGAGCTCATGTTTGTGGTGGCCCTGAAGGACCCTGCCGGATTGAGCAAACGCTGGGTCCGGTGGGTGATGCAGTAGAGATTGTGTTATATCCTGCTGCATCTGGACAGACCAGAGACTTGCACAAGAATCTATCTGTAGACATGGGTCAGCTTCTGCACTAAATTAAGCCTGTGTTCTGCACAGAACCATATATCCAGACATAGCAGTGTACTCTAGTTTTGTTTTACCTTTTTATCCTTTATCATATTTTTATTTTACCTCTATTGTCTGTTTCCATCCATCTATTTTTATGCACATTTTGGAATATCGCATAAAAAACGCTGGATGGAAACGCCAAGATGCGCATAAATTCTAAAAACGTAGAATTTGAGTAGGATAAACTTTTTATCAGATAAGAAAAAATGTGCATAAACTACGATGGAAACACATTTACCGAATAAATTCCTCCATGCGCATCGAAAAAGTCATGTGACTTTGTGCTATGAGACGGGATAACTTGACTAGCAGCGGACCGATCTGGTTCACAGCATCTATATGTTGTTATGGTCATTCTGAAAGGTCTGAGCTAAATCTGTCGTCAAAGTATTTCTGTATAATTGTCTTACACCTCCGAAAGCACTGACAGCATTTATTGTGTTACGTCTGCTCGCTCTGAGGCGCAAGCCATTTATCATATATGAAAATTATTATATTCAGTGGCTTCTCCTAGTTTTCTTAGGGATATTTAGTGCCAGTTTATCAGGAAGTGACGATTTTGTTCTCTTTGACTCGTTGGATGGAAACAGTGCTTTATTCCCAAATGTTTTATGCGATATTCCAGTTTTGAGCATAAGTTTAATTCAAATCTTTGGATGGAAACATAGCTTGTGTCTTGTTGTTATATTCTGGAAGCTTCTGTTTGCCGTGTATTTGGCAGTAAAGCTCATTCTGAGTGGATGTTACGGTTTCATCGAGTGCTGCGTGTGGACTGGAGAAGAGGCTCTGAATTGTGAAAGTAACCTTTTCTCATTTCTCCACCCTCCGAGTCTTTAGAAGGTCAGTAGGGTATTCTGCACTGATGCTTATTGTTATTGCTCTGGAATCTTGTGACTGTTTGTATCTGCAGAGCATCGCACAGACAGCAGAGTCGAGCGTTACCTTAGTGGAGAGCAGGCGTGTCAGGTAGATCTCAGGTAACACCTTCTTCCTGTGACTGTGTCTGTGGGACTTCCTGCTCTCTGTCAGCTCGTCGTGTGGCAGCACCTGCAGGCAAACCACAGCATCGAGCCGTTACCCAGAAATCATCAATCCACCAGCTCAGAGTGATTACGTATATCCACTGCTACTATCAGTGTAACACAGTCTGACTTAAGTGACCTAAGCTGTAACTGCTCTTCTGTTCACAGTTCTGGGAAGCGTTTTGCTGTAATTCCTCACATGCTATTTTCTAATTCAATCAGTGCTTTAGGCCAGTTATTAATCGTTTCCCATGAACACTGTTTGAGAGACCCAACTGATATCACCTTTCAGATCATTCTCTGTTGCGTTGCCAAACAATGTTTTATCATGGCAATCACGTAACCTTTTTTTTTTTCCTCAGCTGTGAAGTTGTGAAACTGAAGGCCAAACCCCACAGTGCAAATGAGAGATGTGATTGGTCGGATTTTCTGTCATTTGGGTTTGAAGGGTCTGACAATCTTTGTCTAGTCTTTGTCTAGAGAGAGTGTTTGACCAGAGTTTATGAGAGATGCTTTATAAGACTAACTCCCATTACTGTATAAGCCCAGTGAAGAACTGCTGGATTATGTGAGTCGTGACCATGATAAAATCTGCTTACAACAGCTAGTTTGAGCAATCGAGATCACTGATCAAATATGATTCTTGATTATCAGTATGGCACAGATGATGACCGAACACATGTGAAAACTCTAGTGTGAGAGAGACGTCAGCACACTCACCAGATGAACATATTTCTCTGTGTCCAGATCTTTCACTGTGAATCAACAGAACAAAAGTTGATTGTAACTGTGTTTGTAGGATATGGTTTGTATGTGAGGTCGGTGTGATCCTCACCTCGGCCCAGTGTGTTCTCTCTCTTGTCCTTCATGCTCATGGCCAGTGACGCTCCATCTGGGATCTGCAAGAGACAGGTCAGAGGTCATTAGGGTGATGCGCACAGAGCTATTCTCTGGGTCACACTGCCAGCATTTCATGGCAGGGCCGATGTATGCTCAATATGGGCCTGAATGTGTTTGTCCATGGGTTCCATGTTGGCTCTGTGTGAATTAGCCAGTTTCTAGCACTAATTCTGCACTAATTTGGGGGGAAAATCTGCTGAATTCAGTGTAATGGACTTAAATATGGTCAAAATGCGTTACAATTGTCTCAAGAGTCATGGCAGCTAAAGGCATTATCAATTTAGACAAAATATTAATCAAACAAACAGAGAAGGGGTAAAACAGAGAAGTAGGTTATCAAATTCTGCGGAAATCCCATTTCACGAATTCACGCTTACATATAATTAGCTGAAGTATGGTGATGCATATTTGGCGTGCTGTCCGGGGAAATGCTCTGAGCTCGGGAAAGCCCCGAACCTAAAGAACCCCCCCCCGTATAAGTGTAGTATGAACTCAAAGTGAGGAGATGGGGCGGAGGAGGGATGCTGATAAACCGTTAATGGATAGAGGTAAGTAATGAAAAATGCTGGATTTTGACGCATATTATGACGTCACCAGGGGGCGGCCCTCTTGAATGTCATAAGATTCAGGAAATAATAGATATTGAATTGATGTTTCAACTTAGTTGCATGTTTTTTTGTCTTTTTATCCTCATTCCAAATGATCAGGAAACCAACAATAAAACGGGAGAAAGTACTAAATTATTACTATACTATATAGTAGTAAAACGCATGTGAACAGTAGCCTACTTTTTGATCAGTTCATCAGTAATATTCAGGAAATAATAGATATTGCCCTGCCACCCCCATCTCCATTGGGCAAAGGGCCGAAATTATCACCTGTTTGTGCTTCGTGAATACTCTCGCCTTGCACGGCGGCACCATTGCGCTGCAAAGATGTACCGGGAGAAGCGCGATTATTAGACGACCGATCGTCATTTCCAAAAGGCAAATATTCCCCTTCAGAGTCAGAATCGGCGAATAACATTTGCAACACATCCTCACGGTACAACTTTTTATTAGCCATTTGGTGATTTTCTCTCACAAATCTCACAGCTTACCCGCACGCTATGAACTGAACTGCTTCCGCATCAATGACACGAAAGCTCACTTGCTCTGCTCTTTCCTCAACACTTTGAATAGGAAGGTGACGTAATTTTGGTCTAGAATCGAAGTACTACATGTCTGCCATCTAGTGGTAGGGAATACAAATGAGATATTACACCATATTAGGAACTACAGTCTATTTGACTAAGTATGACGGTGCGTGCAATTTTGCGACTTTGGCGCTTAGAGGGTTAACTTGAGTTCGCTCCACCTGTGTTAATTAGGCTAAGTATCTGACGCGCTCCTCCCAAACCTTGTTAATAAAACATAATTTCCGAAAGTTTGCACACACACACACACACACACACACCTGATAGTGGAAGACGGTGTTGAGTTTTTTTCTGCCGTCCTCCATGACAGACGTGTTGTCCAGATCCTGCAGGATTCTGCTGCTGCGGCCCTCTGGGAACCACTCTGATCGGGACAGACCAATCACAGTGAGCCACCACAATCACTACTAGAGTCTCAACCTAACCCTTCATTCATTCAGAAAACAGGACAAGTCCCTTCATAAACTGACATTAATGACATTACACTTGAATACACATCTTTTTCATATTAAAACATATGCATTTACATATTTAAAGCTGGAGTCCGTAAGTTTTGCCTCTTTGTCGCCATCTGAGTTTGAAACCTGCAATTGCAATTTTTTTGCAGAATTATCTTATTTACGTGGGTTGTGCGCCGGCACGGCTCCAGCGCCGATGAATCTAATGTGTGGCTGTCAGTCACCACACCGGTGTGGATCCTGTACTTAGGAATCACAGATTCTACGTCTTGGAAGTATGACCCAAATAAGAATTTTCACCAGATATTGTAAGTAATATGAGTAAGTAACATGTCTGCCACTTTTGTTCTTACCAACTGAGGAAAAAAGCATTACAATAAATTGTGCTACCAGAGGTGATTAAATCTAACGATCGCTTAGCTCATATCACATCAAACCGTGCAAACTATTATTACTGTTATACTCTGTTCTCAAAATGTTAATCTTACCTTCATCAGCATTATGTGACTACGTGTATTTAGTGTGTATTAGGTTATCTGTAAACTACTAGTGACTACGGGTGAATCTCCAGTTGTCACTGATGACTGTCGTATGAATCTTTCTGGATTACAATCCGCCATCAAGTTTAATTATTCCAGATGCTGTGAGAAAAGTCTGTAGCATCCTCACGTGCAATATAACCTACTAGCCGGGACAACTTCTTTATGTTTACAGACATGACGCAATGATGCAAAGAAGAACGGCGGCATGCTTGTATTTCCTGCGAAAACCTACCAGTACCACTCAAATTAGAAAACAAGCTTACCGGAGATAGTTTTGAACACTGGCTGGTTATGTACTTGCTCAAATATTGATTTTGGATCTTTTTTAACAACAACAAAAAAAAGTTAGGGGCTGCAGCTTTAAAATAAAATAAAATTCAGTAAAAACAATGGCAAATGGCTTTGAATTATTTTTCAATTAGGAAAGCTAATTATAAAATAATAATTATTAAAGTAAAAAGACAAATTAGGAGTAGTGACTCCTTGTCAGTTTTGTTGTTTTATTGACACATTTACTGATGGATGGAAGGTCTGTTAGGACTGGTCCCATATTTGAATAGTCAAATGATCTTCTGGGTCAAATTCAGTCAAATTTCTCAACATCTCACACAACACAGAAGAGCATGAGCTGTATGAAAGCAGCCACATGTCACAAATAAAAATGTAACTTTTCATCCTCATATCTCGCTTGTTAATTCAGTTTGTGATATCTACCCTGTTCTGATTCTTCTGATGCAATGCTTAACAAGTCTGTCTGCTCTAAACAACTTGATTTCACCATGCTCAGAGATTCTTTACCCAGATCAACATCCTCTTCTCGAGGCCACTGAGAAAAGGGCAGGTTCTTGTAAAAGGCCTCTAGTATTTTGTCCTTCACTTGACAGATGGTGTCCGTGTTCATCACACGTACGCTCACTGAGTCCATACCGAAGCCTTGGAAGGAGACGTTGATGTTCTGGAAGTTAGACGGAGGAGATGAGAGGCCAAACAGTGTGATTTCACAGGTGGAAAGAAAGGTCAGTGGTGTGTGTTGGAGCTCACCTGCGGTTTGGCTTCGATGTTTTCTCGAAGGAGCCACTCCTCGTTGAGCGTGTAGCGCGCCTTCCCCGTGATGGCGTCGATCGAGCCCTTGTTGATCTGCTGCTTGATGGCGCACAGCAGCAGGAAGAACGGCTCGCCGACCGTCTCCTGAGGGTGCGAGAGAAACGGACGCGCTCGTACAGTCGATGAACTGAAGCCAAACAGTAAAATCAGCTGCTGAACTCTTCACAAACCTTAAGGTAGCTGTACATGCAGATGGACATCCAGTTGGTGAGCATCTTCTCCACCACTGACTCTGTTCGGCGCAGCATCAGTTTGGGGTTTTTGGAGGCTGAAGCGTCGATCAAATCCACTAGCAACTCCTTCATGATGCTGGTGTAGTACTCCAGTTTACCATGGAGGGCAATCGTAAGCAGAGAGGCAAGATTGCACCTAAACGTCAATGAAAGAATGCGGACACATCGGTAATTGAGAACATTCACACTGACGGTGGTGTGGATAGAGTCGGTGAATAACTCCACACAGAGGAAGCGCTCCCTCACCGGACACCAACACTGCAGCTAATCAGACACACGTGACAACACGGGCCCTAGAAATCACAGCGAAAGTGCTGATCAATTACTGCAACGCAGGGCGTAATTACTGCCAAGAAACAAAAGTCAAAGAACTCCAACATCTCAGCCAGGACCAAATCATCTGCGCCTGGTTTCCCAATAGCGATTGATCGTACTCTAGCCGTTCAGAGCATTTTCTAAGAGCAATATTTTGTTATTTTAGTGCAATTCCTGAAGCTGCACACACATGAATGCATAAGGATGTGCTTGAAGTGCTACTTACGAGATGTCAAACGCTGAGCTGTAACCGTGTAGAGTGTCGGCCGTTACTGTAACTGTATTCAATTTGCACTTTTAAACACTTGCAGCTGACGCTGTGAAACATCTACTGTGATTTTCTTAAATTCTCAACCTAACGAGCTGCTTATTAAACAGTTTTGTGCAGAACAAGCTGCACTCAAACTGTGCCTCCCTTAGTGCAAATAGCATCTGTTTTACTTACAATTTTTTTCATTTATTCTTGAATTTATCCATTTTATGTATTATTGTTTTAATTGTTTTTAATAAAGCAAATAAATCATTAAACTACCACAAGATTAACTGTGTTAAATGAAATGCAAGTATAATATGGTGACTGCATAAGTCTGTTAGTGCACAGTCATTACTCTCACAAATCCAGGTCCACTGTCAAGCCCTGCTTCAGTTATGATGGAACAGATCACAAAATCACCACGACTCGTGCCATGGCTTCTCTGGTGCTTTTTAGAAACGAGGCCCTGGGCTCATTTGACAGCTCTGTTCTTGTACTATCGGTTTCTTTAGAGGATATAAACTTTCTTGATGTTGCATTATATGTTCTTAAGATCTCTGCATTGGTTTCTGGGTACGAGACTAAACAGTAGTCTGTAGAGCAGCTGTGCTGTCAGACTGTCGCAGGAGCGTTGGGCTGTGCTTGGATCCTGTTAGTGTTCTCGTTTGTGTTTGTCTGTACTCACCTGTCTCTTACGGCAAAGTCTTTCTGCTGCTCGAGAGCGTGAACAAAGGTGACCAGGAAGTGTTTGTTGTTGAGGAGAGTGGAAAACAGGGTGATTCCCTCCTCCAGGTTGGGCCGCACGCTGTTAGACGACTTACACAGAGAGAAGAGACACATAATACAGTATAAAGCATTGATTTCCAAACTGCTAAAGGGTGAGTATGCATGCATGCAGTGGGTCTTAACGTGCATTAACTTGTTAACACACTAAATGATGCCCTTATACATTCTTTCAAGAATAATGTTTGGCATGAGTCATTAGTTCATGCAATTCTGCAATAGTGATTTTTGACAAATCAATTCTTCATCTTACAAAACACCCCGATATACAATACTGCAGTTTCACAATTGCACATAATCATTTTCCAACTGTGCAACAATTCTTCAAACATTATGAAACTCATAGCGACCCACTAAAATAATCTCAGCTAAAATCTAAAAAAATTAAGAAAGGCTGCTGACAGGAAACAAGAGCTTCCTCAGAAGACGGCGTATTGCGCAAAAACACAGAGTTCTTGTTAGAGATGACTCTGCTGAATCTGTGCTTTATTGCAAACACACACGACCTGCACGAGCCGTGGTATAATGAGCCGACAGGAGAGCGCTCAGGGAGGTTTCTGGACATCGATCGTAGCATGTCTCACCTGCCAGTCCTGGAGCAGAGGATGCGTCTCAGACAGAGCTCGCGGGCCGAGAGGATCGTTCTCATACATGGGCTGAACCAGACGCCTCTCATAGTCAGAGCACATCTGCACAAACACACACACACACACACAGTCAACGCTGGAGCATTCGTTCACATCTTCACTTTCCTTAACCGCTCTTAAATAGCTGCGTTCTCCACATTAATGGAGCTGTAACCTGAGCTTCTTATGATTCCCATCCCCTGTCAGGCAGAGCAAGAGCAGGACTGCAGTGTGTTTGAGCTCACAGTAAAAGTCTGTTAGCAGCAAACACACACAGAATTCCCCTAAATGCAGTCTATTGTGTGAGTGCGCTGGAGGGAGTATTCAGGAGTTTCTTGTCTCTGTGCCCAGTATTGTGCAGACACTAAGACTGGAAAATTGCAACATTTGCGGTTTTCACTGGAGAACAAAAATAGGGGACGAGGAGAGTCCTGCATCTGGCCTGGCTGGAGACTTTAACTCTTTAGTAAACTACAAATCATTTCTACAACTGTGGTTGATGGACAAATCCTCAAATCCAGTGTCTTCAATAAGAAAATTGCCACTTCTGGACACTTAAAGCACAGTCTGAGCTTCCTGTCTGGAGAAATATCAAACCAAGTGTGCTGTTTAAAGAAATGTGGCTAGAGGTTTCCTCACTGCTGTAGGCCTTCCAAGCATTTTTTGCAAGGACTTTTCACTAGTTGCTCTGACAGTGATATTTAGCATGACTGAAGGATTTCAGTGGATGTATGAAGTCAATGTAGAGAATTACATGAACTATCAACATCATCCACCAGCATCGGATGGAAAGTGTAACAATATCTATGCCGTTATATCCGATGTATAATAATTATACTAATCCTTATGTTTTGCATATGTTTTGCTTGAAAAAGTGTGCTTGTGCATCTTTCTTTAAAATAAACATTACTTGGTTTGATATATAATGTAAGGCATTTATACATTTAAATGAGTGCTGTCAAACGATTAATTGTGATTAATCGCAACCAAAATAAAAGTTTTTGTTTACATAATATATGTGTGTGTACTGTGTATATTTATTATCTATATGTATAAATACACACACATGCACTTATATATTTAAGAAAAATATGTTATGTATATATAATATAAATTATATGAATATAAATATATTAATGTAAATATTTTCAAAATATATACTGTATATGTGTGTATTTATATATACATGATAAATATACACAGTACACACATATATATTATGTAAACAAAAACTTTTATTTTGGATGCGATTAATCGCGATTAATCGTTTTGACAGCACTCATTTAAATGTGACTTAAGTGTCCAAACATATATTTTTAGGGCTTTTTTACTGCTTACAGTTCACAGTAACAGCACACATCGACTCTCAAGATCAAACATCACCGAGCGTCTGTTTAAGCTCAGTGAACTCTATCTAATAATGTGACTAAGTTCAGTGTTTCCTGAGAGAATCTCACGTTTTCCATCATTTAGCTTTACTTCATGGCTTGACCTGCTGCAGGTTTATTTGCCCTGGTGTACAGCTGTAATGGCACATGTGTGCGGTGACCAGACCTTGGGGAAGAAGGTGCGTGTGACGAACTGCTTGTACTCCAGGAAGGGGATTCCCTGTGTGCGGCTCAGCTCTTTAGTCAGATCCGTCATATCAGTCTGCAGCTCCGCAAAACCTGCCACACACAAACACACGGCTGCCATCACACAGCTGACCAGATCACTAACATCAGCCCCAACACGAAAACCTGCTCTTCATTTCATGCATGAACTGATTTTCCCGTTGAGATACAAACATGTTTACTTTGCCATCTGAATGAGGATACGGGCATTCTCACACTGTATATGAGTTTCAGCTCAAACTCTCATTCACTGTGACAATATCACGATTTATAGTGTTAATATGAAGCAGCTGGTTTTTAAATGGCTTTGGACACACACACACACACACACACACACACACAAACTGTATTTTCTATCCTCTTACCCTAACCCTACACCTAAACCTCCCCTCACACACAACTACAGGCATTTGTTGAATTTCATAAAACACAGTTTAGTAGTTTGTTTTTTTTTTAAGCTTTTTGGTTTACAGGGAGACAGGAAGTGTAAACCTCATAAACCATGTTTATGTTGTAATAACCATGTCATTATGCACATTTGTATAACATAAACCATATATACCAGAACACACACACACACACAAACACAAACACACACACACACACACACACACACACACACACACACACACACTACA